ACGCTGTCCTTCCTCCTCCTCCTCCTCCTCCTCTTCCTCCTCCTCCTCCTCCTCCTCGTTCTTGTCCTACTCCTCCTGGACCCCCCCCGAATGCGAGCAGGCTGAACCCTTCCCCCACCCAATGGCGGCAGACTTCAACAGCTTTTGCGTCTCCTGCTGGTCCGCCACGGTCGACTGAAACTCCTTGTTCTGGGCGTCCCGTGCCTCGACAGCAGGGGGTCAGACTGGCCGACCGGGAGCACTGGAACTCCAAACGTGTTCGCACGACCAGCGGCCGCCACCATCAAAGATGCGAGTTGCTTGGCAAGGCTTCCCAACTCCTCGTTCAAGCACACGCGGCCGTGTATGTATCGCGCCACGTAAACGTCCCCAACGCACCGCCGACACTCAAACGGGAGACTTCATGCATGCACGCCGTGCTGTTACCACGGATGCGTGCGACGTGCTGTGCTCTTGACGCGTCTGCCCCCGTCGCCGGTGAGGCGCGACTACTGATCACTCGGCTGCCCAACTCAACCCAGGAGGGCTCGGCATGCAGCACAGTCGTGGCCAGATGCTGGCGACCGCGCTCTCTGACCGTACCGCGGCTGCAGCAGCTGACGCTGCCTCACCGGTCGCCTATCCCAAACCCTTCCCGCGCGCTATGCTTGCTGCTCTCTTGGGGGCGCCACTCCCTCACATGTGCTTCGTGCTGGCTCTCCCTGCCAACCACGCCCCCGCCAAATCCGGGCAACTTGAAATCCACTCAGCCTGGCCACTCCCGGGGTGCGCTCTGGCCAGAATCTCGAGAACAATCTGGCCGTGGCGACAAGGGCTCTCCAGGACGGATAGCGGTACCAGTATCTCTTCCTCTACAGAATACCTGGCCTCAATCTTCCCCTTTTCGGATGCCCATCCTCTCCGCTGAAGCCTCGCTCACGCGTCAGAATCGGCGACTCCGAAAGGTGTGGTTTGCAAGGGTGCGGTTTGCAACCCGCACTCTGGGAGGCGGGCAAGGACCTCGACTGAGTTCTCCGCCGCGCCCCGAGAAGGCACGACGAGGGCAAGGTGGTGCCCCCCGAGCCCCAAAGACGCACATCGCAAGCCACACCCCGACGAAAAGATACCCTTTGTAGCCCCCTCGCACCCGGTGCTCGCGGCCTGCGCCGGGCTCGAAGAGCGTCCACTGAGGCTGCGAAGCGTTGTGCTCTTTGCGGCCCCCAGCGTCCCAGGGATGAGACCCCCGCCTATGTGGAAACAACAACAGCGAAAGCCAACATATGAGGTCAACTCAAGTCAAGTGAACCGTGCCTAGACGGCACATTGGTTGCAGATCGCATGCATGAGTATATACAGCAGTACGCTGGCGTCGACAATGCGAGAAGCAAAGCATAGCCATCGTCGCCGGCTCCGGCTCCATGCGCAGGGACTCTCTAAAGATCTACGCTTCCGTGCCCGACCCGCCAAAAACCCCACTCGGTGGACGACCCGGGAGAGCAGCGGCAGCAGGAGGCAGAGGAGGGAACGACACCCGGGGGCCAGGACGAACCCGGAGCCGGGGGAGGGAGGAGAGCGAGCGACACGACGCCGGAAAGAAAAGCGGAGGGCGAAGCCCGGGCGACCGCCCGAGGGACGAGCAGGGGGGAGAGAGCAGGCAGAGGAGCGACGCAGGACGGCGGAAGAGGGGACGACGACACCACCTGGAGGGCAGGCGGGCGGGGGGAAACCGGGGTAAAAATTCAGAGTAGTATGCAGCATGCCCTAAAACATGTGATAACATTCATGCCAATTTAAACAGTACCTCAACACTGCTTCTTTCCACGCGCGTTGATTGAAACTGCTCTGCCCGATCGTTTGTCGGACGGCCTCCTCCTGACTCAAGGCCCCGCCGTGCATGCACGTTGCTATTGTCACCGCGTGCGCGTGCATTATCGTAGCCCACTGTAACCTTGGACGCCCCCTGCGGCGTTTCCCAGGTGCAATTTGAAAAGTATATACCAATGCACCCCCAAATTGAAGGACTGCGCGCATACCCCAGCAAAATATCCACTTGATGGCACACCTGTTCAAAACAACAAAACAAAACATGATGGACCCACGAACCCGGAAAGGGATATAGACATGTGGAGCATGGACACGTTTTCATGATACCCAACTGGGCAACACCTCACGAAACATCCCACGAGACACCTCACGAAACAGCCCACGAGACACCTCACGAAACATTCCACGAGACACCTCACGAAACATTCACGAGACACCCCGCGAAACATTCCACGAGACACCCCACGAAACATTCCACGACGACAGGCAACCACTCAACCAAGGCGGTGTGGTCGTGCTGGGGAGTGGTCGTGCTGGGGTGTGGTCGTGCTGGGGGGTGGTCGTGCTGGGGGGTGGTCGTGCTGGGGGGGTGGTCGTGCTGGGGGGTGGTCGTGCTGGGGCGTGGTCGTGCTGGGGCGTGGTCGTGCTGGGGCGTGGTCGTGCTGGGGCGTGGTCGTGCTGGGGCGTGGTCGTGCTGGGGCGTGGTCGTGCTGGGGTGTGGTCGTGCTGTGGTAAGGTCGTGCTGGGGTGCGGTCGTGCTGGGGGGTGGTCTTGCTGGGGTGGGGTCGTGCTGGGGTGTGATCGTGCTGGGGTGGGGTCGTGCTGGGGTGTGGTCGTGCTGGGGTGTGGTCGTGCTAGGGTGGGGTCGTGCTGGGGTGGGGTCGTGCTGGGGAGTGGTCGTGCTGGGGTGTGGTCGTGCTGGGGTGTGGTCATGCTGGGGCGTGGTCGTGCTGGGGTGGGGTCGTGCTGGGGTGGGGTCGTGCTGGGGTGGGTTCGTGCTGGGGTGCTCCGCACCCTGTGATTTATCGATCGGGTCGTGCTGGGGTGTGGTCGTGCTGGGGTGTGGTCGTGCTGGGGTGTGGTCGTGCTGGGTTGTGGTCGTGCTGGGGTGTGGTCGTGCTGGGGTGTGGTCGTGCTGGGGGGTGGTCGTGCTGGGGGGGTGGTCGTGCTGGGGGGTGGTCGTGCTGGGGGGTGGTCGTGCTGGGGCGTTGGTCCTGATGGGCGGGTCGTGTGGGGCGTGGTCGTGCTGGGGCGGTGGTCGTGCTGTGGTGAGGTCGTGCTGGGGTGTGGTCGTGCTGGGGTGTGGTCTTGCTGGGGTAGGGTCGTGCTGGGGTCGGGTCGTGCTGGGGTGTGGTCGTGCTGGGGTATGGTCGTGCTGGGGTGGGGTCGTGCTGGGGTGGGGTCGTGCTGGGGTCTGGTCGTGCTGGGGTGTGGTCGTGCTGGGGTATGGTCGTGCTAGGGTGGGGTCGTGCATTTCGCTCGAGACATCCTGCCAAAATTCCAGGAAATCGTACAAAAACAAACGAATTAGTCGAGACATCATCGAAATTCCTTCGCGCGGGGCGCTTTTCCGCGTCGCGGTCGGCTCTGCAAAACAAGCGTTTCGCTCGAGACATCCTCGGCAAACTCTGCGGAGCAAGCGTTTCGCTCGAGACATCCTCAACACACGAAAAAGTGGCCCGCACCCTGTGATTTATCGATCGGGATTTCAAAAACAAGCGTTTCGCTCGAGACATCCTCAAATTTTAATTCGCCGGCCTCCTTCGACCTCGTTATTTATCAGGGAAAAAATTCGCCGGCCTCCCTCAAGTTGGCACCGGGGGATTAGGTTTACCAACTAAAAGAGAACCCTGGGCCGGCGCCCTTTCCGGGAAAAACTGGCGAAGGAGCTACCAAAAGAGCCACGAACCGTGTGGGGGGCGTGCCGAAAATGGGTGGCGGGAACGCGTTGGAACGTCGCTACTGGGGCCTCAGGTGGAGCTCACTATGGGGCCACGAACCGTGTGAGGGGTGTGCCAAAATGGGTGGCGGGGACGCATAGGAACGTCGCCACTGGGGACTGAGGTGAAACCCCCTTTATGGGGTCACACAACGTGTGAACGGTATGCCAAAATTGGTGGACGAGACGCATGGGAACGTCGCCACAGGGGCCTTAGGTGGAGCGGAGTGTGCTAAAGTGGGTGGCGGGGATGCATGGGAACGTCGTCATTGGGGCCTTAGGTGGAGATCCCAGTGGGGCCACGAACCGTGTGAGGGGTGTGCCAAAATGGGTGGCGGGAACGCATGGGAACGTCGCCAGAGGAACCGTGGGTGAAGCCACCCATGGGGCAACGAACCGTGCGAGGGGTGTGCCAAAATAGGCGGCGGGGACGCATAGGAACGTCGCCACTGGGGCCTCAGGTGGAGCTCACTATGGGGCCACAAACCGTGTGATGGGCGTGCCAAAAAGGGTGATGGGGACGCATGGGAACGTCGCCACTGGGGTCTTAGGTGGAGATCCCTATGGGGCCACGAACCGTGTGAGGGGTGCCAACATGGGTGGCGGGGACACATGGGAACGTCGCCACTAGGGCCTCAGGTGGAGCCCCCCATGGGGCCACGAACCGTGTGGGGGGCGTGCCGAAAAAGGGTGGCGGGACTCATGGGAACGTCGCCACTGGAGCCTTAGGTGGAGATCCCAGTGGGGCCACGAACCGTGTGAGGGGTGTGCCGAAGATTGGTGACGGGAACGCATGGGGACGTCGACATTGGAGACTTCGGTGGAGATCCCTATGGGGCCACGAACCGTGTGAGGAGTGTGCCAAAATGGGCGGCGGGGACGCATGGGAACGTCGCCACTGGGGCCTTAGGTGGAGCTCCCTATGGGGCCACGAACCATGTGAGGGATGCGCCAGAATGGGTGGCGGGGACGCATGGGAGCTTCGCCACTGGAGCCGTCGGTGGAGATCCCCATGGGGCCACGAACCGTGTGAGGGCTGTGCCAAAATGGGTGGCGGGGACGCATGGGAACGTCGCCACTGGGCCCTAAGTGAGGTCCCCGATGGGGCAACGAACCAACCGTGTGAGGGGTGTTGCAAAATGAATGGCGGGGACGCATAGGAACGTCGCCGCTGGGGCCTTAGGTGGAGCCCCCTTATGGGGTCACAAAACGTGTGAACGGTATGCCAAAATTGGTGGACGAGACGCATGGGAACGTCACCACTGGAGCCGTAAGGTGGAGCTCCCTGTGGGCAACGAACCGTGCGAAGGGTGTGCCAAAATGGGTGGCGGGGACGCATGGGAACGTCGCCACTGGGGCCTCAGGTGGAGCTCTCTATGGAGCCACGAATCGTGCGAGGGGTGTGCCAAAATAGGCGGCGGGGACGCATGGGAAAATCGCCATTGGGGCCTCAAGTGGAGCTCACTATAGGGGCCACGAACCGTGTGAAGGGCATGCCAAAATGGGTGGGGGGGGCGCATAGGAACGTCGCCACTGGGGTCTTAGGTGGAGATCCCTATGGGGCCACGAACAGTGCGAAGGGTGTGCCAAAATAGGCGGCGGGGACACATGGGAACGTCGCCACTGGGGCCTTAGGTGGAGCTCCCTATGGGGCCACGAACCGTGTCAGGGGTGTGCCAAAATAGGTGGCGGAAACGCATGGGGACGTCGCCACTGGAGCCTTAGGTGGAGCCCCCATATGGGGTCACGAAACGTGCGAGGAGTGTGCCAAAATGGATGGTGATGACGGCAATGATGTTGATGATTTGATGGGGGGAGGCAGGAGGAGAGGAAGTCAGCAAGGACCGCGGGGCGCTGTCTCTACAAAACGACCACAGGATGGTTGTGTAGTGTCCTGGCGAAGGGCCCAACCATATGCAATTGTGAATATCGCCGTTGTTGGCATTGCCGTCGGTGGGTCTGTCCCTTTGATGGTGCCACGAAGCGTGTAAAGGGTGTGCCGAAATGGGGCGGGGACGCATGCGGGCGCAGCCGTTGGGGCCTTCGGTGGCGCTCCATATGGGGCCACGAAACGTGTGAGGGGTGTGCCGAAATGGGGCGGGGACGAACGCGGGCGCAGCCATTGGAGCCTTCGGTGGCGCTCCATGAGGAACCACGAAACGCTGAACTGAGTAGGGGTGAGACGCATGCGAGCACCGCCACTGGGGCCTTCGGTGGGGGGCGCTCCCTATGGGGCCACGGAACGCTGTGCTGGGTGGGGGAGACGCGTGCGAATACCGCCTCTGAAGCCTTCGGAGGAGCTCCCTATGGGGCCACGAAACGCTCTGGGTGGGGGAAACGCATGCGGACAAAGCCACTGGAGCTTCGGTGGAGCTCCCGATGAGGCCACGAAAGTTTGTACTAGGCGGGGGAAACGCATGCGAACCATGCCACTGGGGCCCTCGGAGGAGGTCCCTATGGGGCCAAGAAACGTGTAAAGGGTGTGCCACAAAGTAAGGGGGGCGGCATGCGCAAGCAGCCACTGGAGCTTTCGGTGGAGGTCCCGATCGGGCCACGAAACGTGTGAGAGGTGTGCTAAACTGAAGGGGGTGGCGTCATGCGAAAGTAGCAACTGGCGCCTGCGGTGGAGCTCCTCATGGGGCCACGAACCGTGTGAGGGGCGTGCCAAAGTGAGGGGGGTGACGGCATGCGAACGCAACCACTGGGGCCTTCGGAGGAGCTCCTCATGGGGCCACGAAACGTGTGAGGGGCGTGCCAAAGTAGGGGAGATGGCGGCATGGGAACGCAGCCATGGGGCCTTCGGTGGAACTCCCTATGGGGCCACGAAACGTGGGAGGGGTGTGCCAAAGTGAGGGGGTGACGCGAGGAGGGAGGAGGGGGAGGAGGAGGAGAGAAGGACAGGAGGAGGAGGAAAAGGAGGACGCGGGGAACCCTCGTTTCAAAACGAGGACCCAACACCACAGGATGGCTGGGTTAAACACAACGGTTGCTTTATCATTTGTTTTGCTCGCCTTGGCAGCACTCGTGCTGCAGCGAAGTCTATGAGTCTGTGGCCTGCGGCCCCGCGCGCACGCGCAAAACCCAGCTGGCTAATCGGGAGGCCGACTGGCAGCTGGGGATCGGCCAGCAGATCCTGGACCTCGAGGACCTCTCGCCGGTGAGGATGGCCGCCTGCACCGCGGCGCCAAAGGCCACGGCCTCGTCGGGGTTGATTGACTTGTTAGGCTCCTTGCCGTTGAAGAACTCCTGGATCATGGCCTGCACCTTCGGAATGCGCGTAGAGCCACCAACCAAAACGACCTCGTGCACGTTCCGCTTGTCGATGTCGCTGTCGCGCAAGCACTTCGCGACGGGGCCCATAGAATTGCGGAAATAATCCATGTTCAGCTCCTCGAATCGGGCGCGCGACAGCGAGCAGGAGAAGTCGATACCGTCGAAGAGCGAGTCAATCTCGATCGTGGCCTGCGTGGACGACGAGAGGGTCCTCTTGGCGCGCTCGCAATGCGTCCGCAGGCGGCGGATGGCGTGCTGGTTGCCCGCGAGGTCCTTGCTTCTATTCTTGCGCTTGAAGTCTTGCATGCAGAAGTCCACGATGCGGTTGTCAAAGTCCTCGCCCCCCAGATGTGTGTCCCCGGCGGTGGCCTTCACCTCGAAGATGCCGTCCTCGATTGTCAACAAAGAGACATCGAAGGTGCCCCCGCCCATGTCGTAGATGAGGATATTCTTCTCGCCGCTGCCCTTCTTGTCCAGGCCGTAAGCGATCGCCGCCGCGGTGGGTTCGTTTATAATTCGAAGAACGTTCATGCCAGAGATCGTCCCTGCATCCTTGGTGGCCTGGCGCTGGGAGTCATTGAAGTAGGCTGGAACAGTCACAACAGCATCGTTACACTTGGCCCCCAGGTAAGCCTCGGCAGTCTCCTTCATCTTGAGCAGAATCATCGAAGAGATGATCTCCTCGGGGTGAAACTTTTTTTCCTCGCCCTGTGACGTCACGACGATCATCGGCTTGTCGCCCGTTCCTGCCTCCACCTTGAACGGCCATAACTTATGTCGGCCTGCACGATGGGGTCTGCGAACTTGCGACCAATCAATCGCTTCGCATCGAAGACGGTGTTTTCTGGGTTCCGGGCCACCTGGTTCTTGGCCGCGTCACCGATCAGGCGCTCGGTGTCGGTGAAAGCAACGTAGGACGGCGTGGTGCGATTGCCCTGATCGTTGGCGATAATCTCGACGCCGTCGTTTTTCCACGGTCCGACGCAAGAGTAAGTGGTGCCCAAGTCGATGCCAACAGCAGTCTTCTTTGACATGGCTACCGTCAAGAGCCGCCCCCGAGGCCAGAAGCTGCTCGACAAAGCTAACCTGGGGTCCGTATTGAGTCGAAGTGGCTTGAGCCAAAATGGCGACGGAGGTAAAAGAAAACGATTATGAAATGTGTTGCGCGACGGCTGCGTACTTCGTTAATTGCATAGATATCGCGCTGCTGTTTCGGCGCTCCGGCGTTGGTTGTCATTCGAGTTGCGATGTTCCCCCATTGATGGCACAATAAAACTGTTTTGACTTCGCATTGGTTCGCATTGTGGTTGCATTGTTGTCGGGTTGCTTGGCGTTTCCGCTTGCACAGCTGATGTAGTGTTTTGCATGATTGATTGATTCACATGCCAATGCGTGTTCATGCAACTCGGCGTTGCGGGTTGCAATGGAACGCGTTGCGAGTTTCGATTGCAGCGCCGTTGTCAATTGCTTTACACTGCGCGGCATTGCAGCTGCATTGCTTGGCATTACATTGCACTGTGTTGCAATGCGTTGCGCTACAAAACAAAGCATTCCCTTGCGTTGCATTGCACTGCGGTGCGCTTTATACCGCGCATGTGCCTAATATCGCGCGTGCGGAAAAGGGAGGGGGAGCACGGTCCGAACGTGAACTTCTTAAACGCGTATGCCGGAGCACGTGCACAGGGAAGAAGTGGAAGTCTTTGGGGAGCGGAACTCGAGCCGAGGAACCACAAACCTAGGTTTTGGGCGCCACACCCACAAGCAGCCCCAAATTCGACCCCCGTCACGAGCAGCCAACCCCTGGCGTTAGGTCAGGCATGTCATCCTCCAGGCGGATTTTGGAAGAAACGTGATGGACCCACGAACCCGGAAAGGGATATAGACATGTGCAGCATGGTCACGTTTTCACGATATCCAACTGGGCGACACCTCACGAAACATCCCACGAGACACCCCGCGAAACATCCCAGGAGACACCTCACGAAACAACCCACGAGACACCTCACGAAACATTCCACGAGACACCCCGTGAAACATTCCACGAGACACCCCACGAACAGGCAACCACTCAACCAGACACCCCACGAAACATTCCACGGGGGTGCGACTGGGTGTGGTCGTGCTGGGGTGTGGTCGTGCTGGAGTATGGTCGTGTTGGGGTGTGGTCGTGCTGGGGTGTGGTCGTGCTGGGGGGTGGTCGTGCTGGGGGGTGGTCGTGCGTGGTCGTGCTGGGGGGTGGTCGTGCTGGGGCGTGGTCGTGCTGGGGCGTGGTCGTGCTGGGGCGTGGTCGTGCTGGGGTGGGTCGTGCTGTGGTGAGGTCGTGCTGGGGTGTGGTCGTGCTGGGGTGTGGTCTTGCTGGGGTGGGGTCGTGCTGGGGTGTGGTCGTGCTGGGGTGTGGTCGTGCTGGGGTGTGGTCGTGCTGTGGTGGGGTCGTGCTGGGGTGGGGTCGTGCTGGGGTGTGGTCGTGCTGGGGTGTGGTCGTGCTGGGGTGTGGTCGTGCTAGGGTGGGGTAGTGCTGGGGTGGGGTCGTGCTGGGGTGTGGTCGTGCTGGGGTGTGGTCGTGCTGGGGTGTGGTCGTGCTGGGGCGTGGTCGTGCTGGGGTGGGGTCGTGCTGGGGTGGTGTCGTGCTGGGGTGTGGTCGTGCTGGGGTGGTCCGCACCCTGTGATTTATCGATCGGGTCGTGCTGGGGTGTGGTCGTGCTGGGGTGTGGTCGTGCTGGGGTGTGGTCGTGCTGGGGTGTGGGATGTCGTCGCTGGGGGCAGCGCGGGCGTGCTGGTGCCGTGAGTCGTGCTGGGGTGTGGTCGTGATTGTGGTGAGGTCGTGCTGGGGTGTGGTCGTGTGGGGTGTGCGTCGCCCGGGGTACGGTCGTCTGGGGTCGGGTCGTGCTGGGGTGTGGTCGGATGCTGGGTATGGTCGTGCTGGGGGGTGGTCGTGCTGGGGCGTGGTCGTGCTGGGGCGTGGTCGTGCTGGGGCGTGGTCGTGCTGGGGTGTGGTCGTGCTGTGGTGAGGTCGTGCTGGGGTGTGGTCGTGCTGGGGTGTGGTGAAGTCGGGATTTCAAAAACAAGCGTTTCGCTCGAGACATCTCGAAAATTCCTTCCGTGGGGCGCTTTTCCGCGTTCGCTGTTCGGCTCTTGCAAAAAAAGCGTTTCGCTCGAGGAAATCCTCGGCAAACTCTGCGGAGCAAGCGTTTCGCTCGAGACATCCTCAACACACGAAAAAGTGGCCCGCCACCCTGTGATTATCGACGGGATTTCTAAAACAAGCGTTTCGCTCGAGACATCCTCAAATTTTAATTCGCCGGCCTCCTTCGACCTCGTTATTTATCAGGGAAAAAATTCGCCGGCCTCCCTCAAGCAGGCACCGGGGGATTAGGTTTACCAACTAAAAGAGAACCCTGGGCCCAGGCCCTTTCCGGGAAAATTAAACGAGTGGCACGCGTGCCATGGCTCTTGCACAAAACGGAGGGGGAAGGAGGAAGAGGAGGAGGAGGAGGAAGAGGAGTAGGAGGAGGAAGAGGAGGAGGAGGAAGAAGAAGAAGAAGAGGAAAAGAAGGAGGAAAGGAGGGGAGAGAGGGGACGAGAAATCGGAGAAGTCTCGGGGGGGCGGGACGGCGGGGGCGGTGCGACGCAGAAATAAAATGGTCGGAGCGGAGGGGGGGGCGGGGTGCACTGGGCGGGCGGGGAGGGGAGAACGATCGTGGGGGCGGGACGACGGTGGGGGCCGTGCGACGCGGAAGAAAACGTTCGTGGCGGAGGGGGCTGTGGCGGGGCTCCTACTGGAGCGCTGGGGACGCAGGGGGGGGCTCGGGGTGACTGGGCTGGGCTCCTACCGGGGCGCTGGGGACGCGGGGGGGGAGGGTGGGGGAGGTGGTTTGTGCGTCGCGACGCGGAATAAAATGGTCGGGGCGGATGAGGGCACTGGGCGGGCTTTTAGGGCAGAGGGCCACGGGGCGGAGGTCCAATGGGGCGTGGGACGGGGGGTGGGGGGGGTTGGGTTGTGCGTTTTCGCGCGCGACGCGGAATAAAACTGTCGGGGCGGAGGGGGCACGATGCGGAACCCCCACTAGGTCACTGGGGACGCGGGGAGGGAGATGGGGGAGGTGGTGTGCGTCGCGACGCGGAATAAAGCGCTCGTGGCGGAGGGGGCAGTGGGCGGGGCTCCCGCTGGGGCGCTGGGGACGCGGGGGGGCTCGGGGCAGAGAGCCACGGCGCGGGGGTCCACTCTGGCGCTAGGGGCGCGGGGGGGGAGGGTGCGACGCGGAATAAAGTAAAGCGTTCGTGGCGGAGGGGGCAGTGGGCGGGGCTCCCGCTGGGGCGCTGGGGACGCGGGGGGGCTCGAGGCAGAGAGCCACGGCGCGGGGGTCCCACTCTGGCGCTGGGGACGCGGGGGTGGGGGTGTGCAACGCGGAATAAAATGCTCGGAGCTCTAGACACCCTGTGCAAGAGAATAAAAAGAATCAAAATGATCCTGGCGAAGGGCCCAACCAAATGCAGTTGTGAGTATCGCCATTGTGGGCATCGCCGCTGATGGAATTCCTCATGGTGCCACGAAGCGTATAAAGGGTGTGCCGAAATGGGGCGGGGACGCATGCAGGTGCAGCCGCTGGGGCCTCCTATGGCGCTCCATATGGGGCCTCAAAACGTGTGAGACGCGTGCCGAAATGGAGCGGGGCCACCGTGCGAACACCGCCACTGGGGCGTTCGGTAGAGCTCCCTATAGGGCCACGAAACGCTGCACTGAGTGGGGGAGACGCATGCGAACACCGCCACTGGAGCCTTCGGTGGAGCTCTCTACGGGGCCACGAGACGCTACACTGGGTAGGGGAAACGCATGCGAACACCGCCACTGGGGCCTTCGGTGGAGCTCCCTGTGGGGCCACGGAACGCTGTACTCGGTGGGGGCGACGCATGCGAACACCGCCACTGGGGCCGTCGGTGGAGCTCCCTATGGGGCCACGAAACGCAGCCCTGGGTGGGTGAGACGCATGCGAACACCGCCACTGGGCCTTCGGTGGAGCGAGCTCCCTATGTGGCCACGGAGAGCTGTACTGTGGGTGGGGGGAAACATGCGAATACCGCCACTCAGGCCGTCGGTGGAGCTCCCTTTGTGGCCACGAAACAACGTACTGGGTGGGGGAAGCGCATGCGGACACCGTCACTGGGTGGGGCCTTCGGTGGAGCTCCCCATGGGGCCACGAAACGTTGTACTGGTTGGGGGAAACGCATGCGGACACTGCCACTGGGGCTTTTGCTGGGGCTCACTATGGACCCACGAAAGGCTGCGCTGGGGGGGGGGGGGGAACGCATGCGGACACCGCCACTGGGGCATTCGGTGGAGCTCCCTCTGTGGCCACGGAGCGCTATACTGGGGGGGGCACGCATGCGGACACCGCCACTAGGGCATTCGGTGGGTCTCCATATGGGGACACGAAGCGCTGCACTGGGTTTGGGAAACGCATGCGGACACTGCCACTGCGGCCTTCGGTGGGCCTCTTTGTGAGGCCACGAAACGCTGTACTGGGTGGGGGTGGGGGAAACGCATGCGAACCATGCCACTAGGGCCTTCGGTGGGATGTGTGCCAAAGTGGAGGGGGGGGGCATGCGAACGCAGCCACTGGGGCCTTCGGTGGAGCTCCCTGTGGGGCCACGAAACGTGTGAGGGGTGTGCCAAAGTGGAGGAGGTGGGGTGGCATGCGAACGCAGCAATGGGGCCTTCGGTGGAGCTCCCTACGGGGCCACGAAACGTCTGAGAGGTGTGCCAAAGTGGAGGGGGGGCGGCATATGAACGCAGCCACTGGCGCCTTCGGTGGAGCTCCCTATGGGGCCACGAATCGTGGGAGGGGTGTGCCAAAGTGAGGGGGTAACGGGAGGAGGGAGGAGGGGGAGGAGGAGGCGAGGAGAGGAGGAGGAGACGCGGGGACTGTCTCTTCAAAACGAAGACCGAACACCACAGGAAGGTTGGGAAGTAATCAAAAAAATAGTCGAAAGAGCAGAAGAAGAAGGAAAAAAAAACGTCCACACATTACTTTTTGACTATTCTTGAACAATCCTCCTGTAGAGGGACATGGCCGACTTAACCCTGGCGCGGCGAGGCCGGCGCGGAGAGAGGCCGGCGCGGCGAGGCGAACCCCTGGCCAGGGGTATCACCCCATGCTTGACTGACACGAAAAAGGCAGAGCTTGGCCTCTCTCCTCTCTCCCTTCTCCTCGTCCCCCTCCTCCTCCTGCTCCTCCTCCTCCTCCTCCTCCTCTTCCTCCTCCTCCTCCCCGTCCTCCTCCTGCTGTTCTTCCTGCTTGACTGATACGAAGAGGCAGAGAATGGGGGCCTTGCGTCGAAAATCATCTGGTCGCACGCAGGATGGCGTAGGTAGAGGAACAATAAACGGCATAAACATAAACCTTTGGCGCTCCGCGGGGATTCTTCGGATCTGCGCCGGACCCCCAGCGCGCCAGGGGTTTTTGGTGGGGGGTCGCCAGAGGCACGAGGCGCCGCCCGACCGAGGGGCGCGCCGACACCGACCGAGGGGGGGCCAATGGGGCCCCGATCCAAGAAAGAACATCAAGCTTCCGACCCGCCCCAAAAGTGGGGGGGGGAGCTGGGGAGGAGAGAGGGAATGACGAGAGAGGGAGATAACACGTTTTTAGACCACGAGTGATCAGTGAGGGGGAGGACGGAAGGAAGAGGAGGAGGAGAGGAGGAGGAGAGGAGGAAGGAGGAAGGAGGAGGAGGAGAACTCTTGATCCGTATCCTGACACCGGAAGGAAGAGGTCAGGTAAGAGAAAAGGAAGGAGGAGGAGGAGGAGGAGGAGGAGGAGAGGAGGAGGGAGAGGAAGGAGAACGAGAAGGAAGAGAAGGAGGAGGAGGAGGAGGAGGCGGAGGAGGAAAGGCGGAGAAGGAGGAGGTGGAGGAGGAGTTTTTTGGAGGCGGAGGAGGAGGAGGTGGAGGAGGAGTTGTTTTGGAGGAGAAGGAGGAGGAGGAGGGGGAGAAGGAGGAGGAGGACGGGGAGGGGGAGGGGGAGGAGGAGGAGGAGGAGGAGGAGGAGGAGGAGGAGGTGGAGGAGGAGCTGTTTTTCGCAACATGATGGACCCACGAACCCGGAAAGGGATATAGACATGTGGAGCATGGACACGTTTTCATGATACCCAACTGGGCAACACCTCACGAAACATCCCACGAGACACCTCACGAAACAGCCCACGAGACACCTCACGAAACAATTCCACGAGACACATCACCGAAACATCATTTCACGAAGACACCCCGCGCGAGAGAACATTCCACGAGACACCCCACGAAACATTCCACGGGGGTGCGACTGGGTGTGGTCGTGCTGGGGTGTGGTCGTGCTGGGGTGTGGTCGTGCTGGGGAGTGGTCGTGCTGGGGTGTGGTCGTGCTGGGGGGTGGTCGTGCTGGGGGGTGGTCGTGCTGGGGGGTGGTCGTGCTGGGGGGTGGTCGTGCTGGGGCGTGGTCGTGCTGGGGCGTGCTGGGGCGTGGTCGTGCTGGGGCGTGGTCGTGCTGGGGCGTGGTCGTGCTGGGGTGTGGTCGTGCTGTGGTAAGGTCGTGCTGGGGTGCGGTCGTGCTGGGGTGTGGTCTTGCTGGGGTGGGGTCGTGCTGGGGTGTGATCGTGCTGGGGTGGGGTCGTGCTGGGGTGTGGTCGTGCTGGGGTGTGGTCGTGCTAGGGTGGGGTCGTGCTGGGGTGGGGTCGTGCTGGGGTGTGGTCGTGCTGGGGTGTGGTCGTCTTGGGTGTGGTCGTGCTGGGGCGTGGTCGTGCTGGGGTGGGGTCGTCGTGCTGGGGTGGGGTCGTGTTGGGGTGTGGTCGTGCTGGGGTGGTCCGCACCCTGTGATTTATCGATCGGGTCGTGCTGGGGTGTGGTCATGCTGGGGTGTTTGGTGGTGCTGGGTGTAGGTCGTGCTGGGGTGTGGGTCGTGCCTGGGGTGTTGGTCGTGCTGGGGCGTGGTCGTGCTGGGGCGTGGTCGTGCTGGGGTGTGGTCGTGCTGGGGTGTGGTCGTGCTGAGGTGTCCCGCACCCTGTGATTTATCCATCGGGATTTCGAAAACAAGCGTTTCGCCTGAGACATCCTCAAATTTTAATCCGCCGGCCTCCTTCGACCTCGATATTTATCAGGGAAAGAATCCGCCGGCCTCCTTCAAGTTGGGCACGGGGGGATATGCTTACATAGGAAAAGAGAACCCTGGGCCTATGCCCTTTCCGGGAAAAAAAAATAGAGACATTACGCGACGGCTTACGCAAGGCCGCCGGCGCAGCACACCACACTGGAAGCGAAGGCCGATGCGCGGCCTTGGCAGGCTTGCGCGCCAATTGTCGGTGAAGACGACCCCTCTCTCTTGCGTCGCTCGACTGGCACCAATACCAACATAGGGAGTTGTCTCCACGTGGGGAGGATGATCCTGGAGTTGATACTGGTGGTGATCGCTCGGCCCCCGAGATAAGCCCGAATATTACCACAGCCACAGAGATCTCAGGACCATCTTTCCTCGGTGGGGCCAAACCGCCGATGTTAGTGCTGGTGCCAACCCCTCGGCTTCCGAAAATTTATGACTCCCCCGTCCAGCTTCGACTCCGGCGGCGCGGCCTCGCTCGCAGCCTTGAGCTGCTTCTCCATCTCGGCGATCTCGGCCTGGGATGGGAAGCCGCCGACTGTACAGGGGCAGTCGTGCTGGCCAGGCCATTCCTCACAGGCCCCACCGTATGCTGCTTAGTTAAGCTCGGCTAACTTTGGGAAACGAATTCTGTACAACTACGCTGTTTCCAGCCCTGCACTGACACTTGCACGAGAAAACGGATGCTGGTGTACACGGGATCCTGGTGTATGCATGTTTCGGCGTTTCCCCGTGAAACGAACAAAAAAGTATGCACCACACCACCCCGACGTCGAGGGGAAGCCTGAGGATTTCCACTGGGACTACTCCAGACTTCGGGCGCTCCACCAACCAGCGTGTGACAAATGCTGTTACCACAGCAACTACGACCACCACAACCGCTACAACAACCCTCTGATTCAGACAGGGCGGTAGCCACAACCATCACCACCGCCCCCTGGCCCGGGCACATTCCTCCACCATCTCCGCATTGTCTGGACCAAGGGGTGGCGGTGGCGGTGGCAGCCTTCTTTTGCTTCGTTGCGTATTGCATTGGCCTCCATCGTCCTCCTGGTTTCCGTCGGCCCACTACTGCTACCACAACCACAACCAGTACTACCACTACGACTGACACTGCTCCAATTGCGAATACTCTGTCGAGGCAGATGCATGAGAGGCAGAGAGAAGCAGGGACAGAGGGAGAGAGGGGGGGAAGAGAAAGAGAGAGAGAGAGAGACAACAACAACAACAACAAGAACAACAACAACAACAACAACAACAACAACAACAACAACAACAACAACAACAACAACAACAACAACAACAACAACAACAGCAACAACAACAACAACAACAATAATAGTAACCACAACAACAACAACAACAACAACAACAACAACAACAACAACAACAACAACAACAACAACGACGAGGTGGGAAGCATGAGTAGGAGGCGGAAGGAGAGAGAGGCGAGAGACTAGTCGATGGGGGTAGGTGATCGCACAGATACTCCGAAGGAAGGTGAATTACGACGTGGGAGGAATTGGGGCGAGATGAACATCGTCAGAAGGGGGGGATATAAATATCAGGAGGGACGTGGAGAGGAGGAAGGGGAAGGGGGGGGGAGAGGACAGGAGAGAGAGAGAGGGGAACGAGGGGGGTGGGAGGGGGGGAAGGGGGGATGAGGGAAGAGAGGGGGGGAAGAGGAGGGATGGGGATGGGAGGGGAGAAAAGGGTAAGATGGACACGAGGGAGGATGGTCCAGACGAGAAAAAGGAGGGAGGAGGAGGAGGACGATGAGGAGGATGAGGGACGAGGAGGGCTGAGGCGAGAACGAGGAGGGATGAATGAGGGAGGAGAGTTGGAGGCCTGGAAATTGGCACCAACACCAACACAGAGGGTTGCCTCCACAGGGGGAGGATGATCCTAGATGTTCGGTGTTGGTGGTAATAGTTCGACCACCTTGGAAGCCAGAATATTACCACCATCACCGAGATCGGGATCTTCTTTCCTCGGTGGAGGCACACCGCCGAAATTGGTGTTGGTGTCAATCTCTAGGCCTGCGAGAGAGAGGATAAAGGAGGAGGAGGAATGAGGATGAGGAAGAGGGAGGAGGATAACGGAGGAGGAGGAGGAGGAATAGGATGAGAATGAGGAGAGAATGAGAGAGGAGGAGGTGGAGGAGAAGGAGGAGGAGCAGGCATGAGAGAGATGAGGGAGGAGAAAGAGGAGGGATGAGGGAGGAGAGAAGAGGAGGGAGGAAAGAGAGAGGAGGAGGGAGGACAAGGGAGGAGGATGAGGAGGAACAACATTAGCGTAGGAAGGGGAGAACGCCATGAGAGAGAGAGAGAGATTGGACGGGAGTTCGACAGCCGGCTACTTCGGTAGCCGAGGCCGCCATCGCACGGAGAGAAAAAGAGAGAGGGAGAGTAGACAGATGGGCGAGGGAAGGGAGGGACGGGAAGATAGAGAGAACGAGGAAGGAGAAGGGCATCGTATGTGGCCAGGTTCGTCCTCCCACATACATCTGTACATGAAGGGGGCGACCGAGCGGTCTTACAAAGTCCCTCGCAGGGGTCCCCACAGCGCGTTATTGCTCTTGTTGTCGTCGCCCATCGACCCGCCCCACGACCCACCCGCGACCCGCCCCGCGACCCACCCGCGACCCGGCTGGCAGAATGGCAAAGGGGGGCGAAGTCCGGTGCAGCATCGCCTTAAGAGTATCGATCTCCGCCGTCAACGTCTTGATGGTGGTTTCCAGGGCCAGGATCTTGGCCAGGACGTCCTGGCATGCGCCGTACCCTTCTCACCAGCCGCCCAAGATAGAATCATCATGCAGCCGTGGGCTCATACCCATCTTCCCGCTACTCCTGGCCCCAATCAGGCGATCGCCCGTCCTGGGGTCCGCCCGCCTGGACCTTGACTGATGGGCCCCGGACGGACGGGACCCCAGCCAAGGCTCTGGCGGAGTGTCGCTCCAGAGCACGAGGCGAAGAAGAGAGAGAGAGAGAGAGAAAGACGGAGAGAGAGAGAGAGAGACGGCCCACAGAGGTGTCGGGCGTGTGCCTAACACCTCCGGCCTTGCGCTGGGCCGTCAAAGAGCACTACATCTTCGTCGGGCGTCGGTCCAGCGGCTGCGCCGGCCGCCCTGTGTTCTCGCAGACGGCACCCTGTGCCACAAGCGGAGGAGGACGAAATAGGGGGGATGAGGGGTAGGATCTCCATGGAACTGCTTGTCCACAAGGCCCAACTGCGTGCAAGGGACACCCAGCGTCCCGTGTCTCGGCCCACCGGGCTTTGAACTCCGCAAGGGAGGAGGAGGAGGAGGAGGAGGAGGAGGAGGAGGAGGAGGAGGAGGAGGAGGAACTCGCGCAGGCCAGTGCCTTGGTTCGGAGGGCGCGAACTATACACCTACACCGATCCTGCCCATGCCGATCCTGGGCCCAATCGGTGAATATGTCTTCCTTGCCAAGCCTGGAGGGCGTATACACCGATCCCAGGCCCAGGGTGAGCCTGGACAGGATCGGTGTAGGTGTCGATTGGTCCATCACAAAGGAGTCGGCGGCGCGGGGCCCCGCTGAACAGTAGAAGTGCCCGTGTGAATCGCGCCTCTCCGCCACACCGCAGCCCGCTGAGCATCCACCGTCGAGGAGGACGAGGAGGGAGGCCTCCACTGCTGCCAAGCACCTCGAGGTTAGGGCGCGGAGGGGGGGGGGGCGGAAGAGCATCCTCCTGCTCGTCTTCCTCCCTCCTTCCTTCTCTCTTTATCCTTTTACCTCTTACCGACTACCCCATTCCTCGTCCTTCCTCCTCCTCGTCCTCCTCCTACTCCTCCTCCTCCTCCTCCTCTTCCGCCTCCTCCTCCTCCTCATCATCTTCCTTCCTCGTCGTCGTCCTCGTCGTCCTCCTCCTCCTCCTCCTCGTCCTCCCCCTCCTCCTCCTCCTCCTCCTCTTCCTCCTCCTCCTCCTCCTCCTCCTCCTCTTCCTCCTCCTCATCCTTCTACTCCTCCTACTCCTGCTCCTCCTACTCCTACTCCTACTCCTCCTCCTACTCCTACTCCTACTCCTACTCCTACTCCTACTCCTACTCCTGCTCCTCCTCATCGTCATCCTGAAGAGCTTGGAGGCGCTGGCTGAAGAAGCGGCTCGCTGGAGCGCAACTCTGGAAGCCTCGCTCACCAGCCAAGGCCGCTTGGACCATGAGGATGTGCTGCGTGGCAAGCAGGGGGGGGGCCCTGACCCGAGAGCAGAGGAGGTGGAGGGCGCCATGGCCGAGACAGAGGTCGACCTCGACGCGGCGTCAGGCGCGGAGCCCCCGCCTGCCGAGGAGGAGCCCCAGAGCGCCCACCTGGACACGGCGGGGCCGCCGCTCAGCTTCGACTACAGCTGGGGCGAGCTGCACAAGCGGGCAGCGCGCATCAACGGACACGCCTTGCTCCGCTGCGGCGTTGTGCAGCGGCCAGGGCGAGTCTGGACGGGCCGGGCAAGCTCCTGAAGGCGCGCTGCGAGGGGATCAACACCCGTACTGGCCGCGAGCAGATGCGCCTCATCAGCCAGGGCAGGAGGCCGCACTACCAACCCGGCCACCAGCATGAGGCGCTGGAGGGGCCGAAGGCATACCACGCCGAGGAGACGGGACTGCTGGAGAGCGCCCTCGGCGGCGTGCCCACCGCGCGCGCCCGCGCGGCAACTGCGGCGCCGGTGGGGCGCGCCGCGACCGAGCTGCTGCTAGGGGTCGCTGCGCGGCGGTATCGCCTCGCGGCCTTCGGTCTGCACACGGCGGACCTCGAAGGCGAGCGGGGAAGGCAGGCCGAAAGCCTTGCCCCCAGGCTCCGAGGACGAGGAGCTCGGGTCCGACACGGAGTAAGTGGAGGTTTCCCTAGTCTCGGACACGTCCGAGGCTACCCCATCGCGGGGCCGCACCGTTACCATTACCGTTACAATTACCATGACCATTGCCATTACCATAACGATTTTCATTACCAGTACCATTGCCATTACGATTACCATTATCATTTCAATTACCATTACCATTACCGTTACCATCACCATTACCATTACCATTACCATTACCAGTACCATTACCATTACCATTACCATTACCATTACCATTACCATTACCATTACCATTACAAATATCAACACCATTACCATTACCATTACCATTACCATTACCATGACCATGACCATGACCATGATCATGACCATGACCATGACCATGACCATGACCATGACCATGACCATGACCATGACCATGACAATGACAATGACCATGACCATGACCATGACCATTACCATGACCATTACCATTACCATTACCATTACCACAACAATTACCATTACCATTACCATTACCATTACCATTACCATTACCATTACCATTACCATTACCATTACCATTACCATTACCATTACCATTACCATTACCATTACCATTACCATTACCATTACCATTACCATTACCATTACCATTACCATTACCATTACCATTACCATTACCATTACCATTACCATTACCATTACCATTACCATTACCATCCTCCTCCTCAACCCCCTTCTCCTCCCACTCCTCCTTCTCCTCGTCCACATCCTCATACTCCTCCTCCTCCTCTTCATCATCATAATCCTGTCTGCCCTCCACTCCTCCACGCCCTGCTCGTCTTCCCATTCCCCTCCATCTGACCTCTTCCGATCCTCCTCCTCATCTGCACGTTTCCCTCGTCACCGCCCATGTGCCAGGCGTCGGCTTTCAACCTGGAGGCTTGGCATCATTGGGATTTGCCCGCCGCCACCCTATGTGGCACCACGGCTGGAGACTAGTTCACAACTCTAGGAATAACGGCGAGAGCCACTCCTTCTTTGTGAATTCCGTCTGCTGCGTCTCCAGAGCGTTCTGGTCGAATTCCTCGATGCACCAGTCCCTCTTCTTGACTTCCGCGGCCTTATGCTGACAGCACGCGTGCGTACAGGGCAACAGATGTTGTCTTGTTCGGACGGGAGTGCCCGATACGAGAAACCATTGCGCATCATCATCATCATCATCATCATCATCATCATCATCATCATCATCATCATCATCATCATTATCATCATCATCATCAGCATCAGCATCATCATCATCATCATCATCAGCAGCAGCAAGCAGCATCAGCATCAGCATCAGGCACCATCATCTCATCATCATCATTCATCATCTGCCAGCAGCAGCAGCAGCATCAACAACATTCATCATCAGCACATCCATCATCATCCATCATCAGCATCAGCAGCATCATCATCATCATCATCATCATCATCATCATCATCATCATCATCATCATCATCATCATCATCATCATCATCAATATCATCATCATCATCACCATCATCATCCTCATCCGCATCAGCATCATTATCATCATCATCAGTATCAGCATCATCATCATCATCATCATTATCATCTGCATCATCATCTGCATCATCATGTTCAGCAGCATCATCATCATCGTCATCATCAGCATCGTCACCAGCATCATCAGCATCATTATCGTCATCATCATCGTCAACAACATCAATGTCATCATCATCATCATCATCATCATCATCATCAGCATCATCATCATCATCATCATCATCATCATCATCATCATCATCATCATCATCATAATGTTCGTCATTATCCTCCTCCTGCCCCTTCTTCTCCTCTTCCTTCTCCTCCTCCTCCTGCACCTTCTTCTCCGCCTTCTCCTCATTCTCCTCCTCGTCCTCATCCTCATCCTGATCATCATAATCACCACCAGCATCCTCATCATCTTCATCATCAGCAGCATCATCAGCATCATCATCAGCAGCAGCATCATCATTATCAGCATCAGCATCCTCATCTTCCTTCTCGTAAGTATCATCACCATCGTCAGCATCATCAAAATGTTCCTGACCATCCTCACCATCATCACCATCATCATCGCCATCATCAGCAACATCATAATTAGCATTATCAGCGTCGTCATCGTCATCATCATCGTGGTCGTCGTAATCATCATCCTCAGCATCATCATGATCAGCATCATCATACCGTCATCATCATAACAATCAGCAACAACATTATCATCGTCATCAGCATCGTCATCAGCATGAACCTCATCATCAACAACATCATCAACCTAATCAGCATCATCGTCGCCATTACCGTCATCGTCATCACAATCATCAGCAGCAGCATCAGCATCATCCCCATCCGTATCCTCATAACCATCAGCAGCAGCAGCATCGTCATCATCAGAACCATCGCAATCGTCGTCATCATCATCATCAGCAACAGCGGCATAGTCATCGTCGTCGTCGTGGTCATCATCGTCATCAGCAGCATCATCATCATTAGAGGCAGCATGACCATCGCCATCTACGCCAAATCCTCATCATCACCATCAGCATCATCATCACCATCATCATCAATTATCTCCAGCATCGTCATCATCATTATCGTCATTATCACGATCGTCGGCATACCAATCAAAATCAGCATGGCATCATCACCACCACCACCATCAGCAAAATTACCCGCATCATAATCGTCATCATCAGATTCATCAGAATCGTCGTCGTCATCGGTATCATCATCACCGTCACCATCATCATCAGCAGCATCATCATCAACATCAGCAGCATCATCATCATCATCAGCAAAATCAGCATCATCATCATCATCATCATCATCATCAGCATCAGCATCACCATAGTCATCGACAGCAGCAGCATCCACAGCATATGCATCATCATCATCGTCGGTGTCATCCTCATCAGTATCATCATCATCATCATCATCATCATCATCATCATCATCATCATCATCATCATCATCATCATCATTATCATCATCAGCATCATCATCATCAGCATACTCATCATCAGCAGCAGCATCATCACTAGCAGCAGCAGCATCGTCATCGTCGTCATGATCATCATCATCAGCAGCAGCATGGTCATCATCATCATCATCAGCATCGTCACCAGCATCATCACCATCATCATCATCATCAGCATCATTAGAAGCGGCATCATCACCAGCATCATCATGATCGGCATCATCATCAGCATCAGTATGTGCATCCTGATCTGCAGCATGCTCATCATAAGCATCATCATCGTCATCATCAGCATCAGCATCATCATCGTCATCATCAGCATCATCATGTGCATCCTCACCCCCATCATACTCATCATAATCATCATCAGTATCATCAGGATCATAATCAGCAGCATCATCATTAGCATCAGCATCTGCATCAGAATCAGCATCTGCGTCAGTATCAGCAGCATCATCACCAATATCATCCTCATCGTAATCATCACCATCATCACCATCAGCATCATCAGCATCATCATCACCATCGTCGTCATGACACGCCCTATGCCCACAAGGAAAGAAGCCGCCGTCCACTATGCAGATGCGTCGGCAATATGCGAGCGACACGTGGAATGGCACATCAAGTTGCGCAACCGTCCTGGTCCACATGCACCCCAAACGAAGATACATCTTTTATCATCCCCTGTCGAACCCATCACGATCTATCCACGCGCCGATCCTCCTGGACACCTCCGTGACGATCCAGAGGGCCTCGTTTCCATCAGCGAATCCAAACGCGATGTGCGCTACGGGTTCTTCAGAGTAAAGATGTGTGCAGAGCCGTGTATCAATGAGAGCATGTGTATATATATACATGTATACATGTATTATATGTATACATCATGTACTGATCTTACCATGGGAACGAGGCAGTTTTGTGGTGCCGGGCTCTGAGCGTCAGGGTCCCCCAGGGACGCCCGAGTGCTGGGAAGTTTGGCGGCGCTCGGTGCTCGTCCCACGCGACAGAAGTCCCGTAGTTTCCGCACCCCATGGACTGCCCTGTGATCCAGGATGCCGCCATGGAACTCTTCCCACGACCGCCTCGCATCGAGAAAAAATCGCCACCGATTTTGTTGTTGCAGCTTTCGAGCTCTGGGGGCCCTCGCCGTGCCCCGGGACCGTCAAAAACGACTCAGGATGAACCGGTCCTGGGGAATGGGTCGAGACCTTACTCTTCGTGGGTGCAGAACGAGCGAACTCTGCCATCGCCAGGAAGGGCCGGTATCCCTGCAAGGGTCACTACGAAGGTCACTGAAAGCGGAATCGTGCCGAGTTCGCGGTGGTACATGACAGGTCCACGCGATGCGCACAGGTAGCGCTAAGCGTGCCGTGTAAAATGCTGCCCGCTCTCCTGTCCTGCCAAGCTGAGTTATTCGATACCCGCTGAATGGCATCACGGCCTGGGCCACTTGCTGACTACATGATCATTGCTGGGGGTCCGCTCTGGGTAAGTGGTGAGTTCAGGGGCAACGTTAGGGGGGGATTGGCTCAGGGGAGATGCATTGACTCGATCGCCCATTTGTTGTCGATAGGGGCGCCGATCGTCCACACTGTTGGCCCGATCGCCGATAGGGGCCAGGAGCGTGAGGATTCGCTATCGGGGCCTATCGCCGATCTATGGGCGATGTATCGCTGATTCCAGCTCGATGTTTCCCTCCCTGAGCCACCCTGATGTTCGCCCTCAGGTCCGCGCTGGAGTCATTCGTTTGGATACCGTGGTGCTGGCAGCGTGTGTTCTCCAAACAGCGTCTCTTTTGTGCACCCTCCGCCCTCGCCCTCGCGCAGCTTCGGCTCGCCTCGCCCACACGCAGGACACGAACCGAAACCAAAACCGATGTCCAGCTTTGGGTTTTCAATTTCGATTCGGTATCACCCACTCGACCTGTTGCCAATTCCTTACCACACCCGCACCACCTCCTCTGGGGTGCTGTGGCACTTCTGGTAGAATATGGTTGGCCTCCTACCAGAAACTTACAAGGGCATGGCGAGGAGCATTTGATGTTGCATGATTCGGCATTCCTCGACACAATCTGGTGAGTTTCTCGTGGGGCAGGGTAAGAAAGCCGAGGGATATGCCGAAGCAGACGCGGGTCCACATCCATATGCTCCCACCGCAGCCGCAGACGGAGCTTCCTATGACGCACGAGAGGTGTACCGCACTCGGCGTGGGCCCGCATGCAGGCTCATGAAGGGAAGCCTTGGGATGGGGCTCCCTGTGAGGCACGATCCGCCTGAGGGGTATGCCGAAAGTGGTCCGGGCCCTCGAGTGCGGGTGCGCCCATTGGGGCCGCAGGTGGAGCTCCATGTCGATTACGGCCCGTGTGAGAGTGACACTCGCAATGAGCCCTGTCGAAGGGAGAGAGGGAGGAGAAGGAGACGGGAGAGGAGAGACTCGGGAGGGGGGAAGAGCAAGGGGGGCAGGGAGGGGGCAACAAGGAAGGGGGGATGAGAGGAACAGAAAACTGCAGAAACGCAAACTTTCGGAGGTCCGCGCGGATTTCCTGAATCTGCGCTGGACCCCCCTCCCTGGCGCACGGAGCGCGCCAGCGGCAGCGCCGGAGGCGACGCCAGGGGGGCCCCAGCGCCAGTCCTCCTTCTTCGAGGGTAGCGGGAGAGGAAAGCAGTTTGGGGAAGGGGCAGAGTGCGGGCACTGAAACCGAGAGAGGCCGGCCGGAGACAGACTGCCAGGCGCCAGGCCATCTCGTCCTGCAGAGCCTTCACGAGGTCGTCGATTGCCTTCTTCACCTTGCCGCGCGGCGACGGGGAACAGGAGGTGAAAGAGGGGCGACGAGGAGAAAAGCCCTAGAGGAACGACAGACCACACAGGCAGAGGATCCTCCCCCGCCTTGCTCATCCTCCTCCTCCTCCTCCCCATCCTCCCCCTCCTCATCCTCCACATCCTCATCCTCATCCTCATCCTGCTCCTCCTCTTCCTCCTCCGTCTCCTCCTCCTCCTCCTCCTCCTCCTCCTCCTCCTCCTCTTCATCCGCCACATCCTCAGCCTCCTCCTCCTTTGTCTCCTCTTCCTCTTCCTCATCCTCCTCCTCATCCTCCTCATCCTCCTGCTCAGCAGCAGCATCAGCATCCGCATCATCAGGATCATCAGCGTCAGCATCATAACCATCGTCATTTTTCACCACCACAACCACCGCCACAACAACCATCATCATCATCATCATCATCATCATCATCATCATCATCATCATCATCATCATCATCATCATCATCATCATCATCATCATCATCGTCAGCAGCAGCAGCAGCATCATCATCACCACCACCACCACCACCATCATCATCATCATCATCATCAGCATCAGCAGCATCATCATCGGCATCATCAGCATCGTCATCGTCATCATCATCATCATCATCAGCAGCAGCATTAATCATCATCATCATCACCACCACCACCACCACCATCATCATCATCATCATCATCATCATCATCATCATCATCATCATCATCATCGGAATCGTCATCATCATCATCGTCATCATCATCATCATCATCATCATCATCATCATCATCATCATCATCGGAATCGTCATCATCATCATCATCATCCTCATCATCATCATCATCATCGTCATCGTCATCATCCTCATCCTCATCCTCATCCTCATCATCATCATCATCATCATCATCATCAGCATCATCATCATCATCACCACCACCACCACCATCATCATCATAACCATCATCATCATCATCGTCATCATCATCGTCATCATCGTCATCATCATCATCATCAGCGTCGTCATCATCACCATCATTATCATCGACATCATCATCATCATCATCATCATCATCATCATCATCATCACCATCATCATCAGAATCATCGTCATCATCCCATCATCAGCAACAGCATAATCAGCGTCATCATCATCATCATCAACAGCTTCATCATCATCGTCAGCAGCATCAGCATCAGCATAAGCATCAGCATCATCAGCATCAGCATTAGCATTTGCACCAGCATCGTTCTGAGCATCATCATCATCACCATCAGCATCATTATCATCAGCAGCAGCAACGTCAGCATGATCATCTTCATAAGCATCAGCAACATCATAATGATCATCATCATCATCATCATCATCATCATCATCATCCTCACCATCATCAGCATCATCATTATCATTAGCATAATCATTAGGATCGTCATAGTCATCACCATCATCGTCAGCATCATCATCATCAGCAGCAGCATCAGCACCGGCATCATCATCCTCATCAGCACCATCAGCATCATCGCCATCATTATCAACAGCATCATCGTAGTCATCGTCATCGTCAGCATCAGCTTCACCACGATCGTCATCATCAGCATCATCATCATCATCAGCATCGTTATCAGCATCATCATATAAAACGATTCATCTTCATCTTCATCATCATCAGCATCAACGTCATCTGCATCACCATCATCATCGTCATCATCATCACCAACAGCATCATCATCATCAACATCATCATAAACAGCATCCGCAACAACAGCATCATGATCAGCATCATCGGAATCGTCATCATCATCCGCAGTATCAACATAATTAGCATCATAATCAGCATCGTAATAATCTTCAACATCAGCACCATAAGCATCCTCATCATCATCAGCAGTAGCATAGTCATCGACACCATCATCATCATCATCATCAGCACAATCAGCATAATCATCACCATCATCGTCAGCAGCATCATCATGATTACCATCAGCAGCATCATCATCACCATCATCATTATCCGCCTCCTCCTGTTTCTCCTCTTCCACCTCCGCCTCGTCCTTCTCCTCCTCCTTCTCCTCCGCTTCCTCCTCCTCGTCATCATCCTGATCCTCACCCTTCTCCTCCTTCTCCTCCTCCTCCTTCCTCGCCTCCTCCTCCTCGTCCTACCTCTCCTCCTCTTTTTCCGCCTCCTCCTCCTCCTGTTCCTCCTCCCCCTCCTCCTCCTCCTACTCCCCCTCCTCCTTCCCCTTCTCATCATCCTCCTCCTCCTCCTCCTCCTCCTCCTCGTTGTGAGTCTCCACGGTTGAATCCCTCTGTGATGCTTTCCGGTGGATTCTCTTTTGTGCGGCTTTCAGATAGGAGCCCACACTGGAGCTTTCAAAACGGCTTTCTGGTGTGAGGCTTCCCCACGGAATCCCTACGTGGTGCTTTCCAAAGGATTCCCACTGCGACGGTTTCCAATAGAATGCCGCTGTGGTGCTGTCCAAAGGATTCCTGTTGTGACTCTTTCCACTAGAATTTCTGACTGGTGCTTCCCAATGGATTCTAAGTGTGAGGCTTTCCAATCGAATTTTTTTGCGAATTCCAAAGAATTGTTTGTGCTGCTTCCGAATAGAGCTTACATGCGGTGCTAACTGCGGGATTCCTGTTGTGATGCTTTCCAATAGAACCCCTATGCGGCGCGTTCCAACGGAATTCCACTGAGAATTTTTCGTGGAATCCCGTTGTGGCGCTTTCCAAAGGATCCTCGTTGCGAGGCTTTTCAGTCGAATCTCTGTGTGGTGTTTTCCGAAGGAGTCCTGTCGTGAGGCTTCCCAATAGAATCCCACTGCGGCGCTATCCAAGGAATTCATGTTGTGAGGCTTTCAGATTGACTCCCTCTGTGGCACTTTCCGATGGATTACTTTTTTGTGCGGCTTATCAATAGGAGCCCTCAGATGTGCTTCCAAAAAGGTTTTCTGGTGTGTGGTTTTCCCAGGGAATCCCTCTGTGGTGCTTTCCGATGGGCTCCTCTTTGTGCGGCTTCCCAATAGGAACCCATTAGAGGCGCTTTCAATTTCAATCGGATCCCTGCTTGGTGCTTTCTAATGGATCCCCATTGTGGTACTTTCTAACAGGAGCCCGTCTTAGCGTTTTCCAGAAGATTCCTCTTGTGATGTTTTCCAGTAGGAGTCCTTCGTGCTGCTGTCCAAAGGATTTATCTTGTGAGGCTGTCTAAAACAATCCCTACGTGGTGTTTTCCAAAGGATTCCTGACGCCAGACGCTCCCGCAGAATCCATGTTGTTGCGATGTTCAAAGAATATCTACTGCGAGGCCGCCCAATTAACCTGTTAGATTCCTTGCCAAAGGGTTCCACTAGTTCCCCCAGAGCCCTTCTGGGGCGCTTTCCAAAGGGTTCCAAGTATGATTATGTCTCACAACGTGCGTGTTGCTAGACAGCGCTTTCCGGATGATGCCTGTTGGGAGGCCATATAATGGAATTCCTGTGTCGCATTTCGCACAGTGTTCCAAGCCCGAGGCTGTCCAGTCGAATATCTTGTTTTGTCCAAAAAGGTTTCGTCCTGTGATGCGTCCCGAATAGCAGCAATGCTGTCCAAACGGCTCCGATTATGAGCGTCCCAATAGAATCCCTTAGTAATGATTCCCAGCGGCTTCCTGCTGCGAGGACATAGAATATCTTTGCTTCGCTTTCCATCGGGATTCGCTTGTGATGCTTAAGGTAGGAGATGCGCATAATGTGCGCACGCGAGATAGAGGCAAAGGAGGAATGCGAGAGGAAATATAAGGATAAGGATGAAGACAAGGCTGAAAGCTCGTAAAAACTCATCTGGCGAAATTCCAGCCCCATGCCGTTTGGCACAGGGCTGGAGTTCCGAGGAACATGCTCGGGGGGGGGGGGGGGGCATTTTTCGGGGGAAGAGGACGGCGAAAAGTGAAACAGGGAGAGAAAGAGAGAGAGAAGGAAAAAAAAGAGAGAGCGACGGAGAGGAAGAAAAGACGAAGACAACGATAAAAAGAGAACGAACAAATCACGAAAACACTGTAACAAGACACTCAAACCAGCGAGGGCCGCCACAATCCCTGTCCTTTCGTCCTCCTCCTCCTCCTGCTCCTCCTCCTCCCTTCCTCCTCCTCCTCCTCCTCCTCCTCCTCCTCCTCCTCCTCGCCTCCCCTCTCCTCCTCCTCTTCCTCCTCCTATCCTGTCCTCCTCCTCCTCCTCCTCCTCCTTCCTCTCCTCTCTCATCATCATCATTCTTCATCATCATCATCATCATCATCACATCATCATCATCATCATCATCATCATCATCAGCATCATCATCATCATCAGCATCAACATCATCATCAGCAACATCATCATCATCCTCATCATCATCATCATCATCATAATCAGCATCAGCATCATCATCATCATCAGCATCATCGTCATGAGCACATCAGCATCATCACCATCACATCGTCAGCATCAGCATCAGCAGCATCATCATCATCTTATCAGCAGCAACATCATCATCATCATCAGCATCATCACCATCATCATCACCATCACCAACATGACCATCCTCATACGCCTCCTGATAATCATCCATCATCAGCATCATCAGCACCATCATCATCATCATCATCATCATCATCATCAGAATCAGCATCATCAGCATCATCATCATCATCATCAGCATCATCATCATCATAACCATCATCATCATCACCACCACCACCATCATCATCATCAGCATCATCAACAGCAGCATCATCAGCATCATCATCATCATCAGCATCAGCATCAGCATCAGCATCATTATCAGCAGCATCAGTAGCAGCAGCATCACCATCATCATCATCATCATCATCATCATCAGTAGCAGCAGCATCAGCAGCAACTGCATCATCATCAGCAGCATCATCATCATCATCATCATCATCATCATCATCATCAGCATCATCATCATCATCATCGTCATCAGCATCATCAGCAGCATCCTCATCATCACCAGCATCAGCATCAGCATAATCAGCATCAGTATCATCATCAGTGTCAGCATCCTCAGCATCAGCATCAGCATCCTCATCGTTAGTAATACCATCATCATCAGCAGCAACATCATCAGCAGCATCAACATCAGCATCATCATCATCATTAGCAGCAGGATCTGCATCATCTTCGTCATCATCATCATCATCATCAGCATCAACATCACCAGATCAACATCATCATCATCATCATCATCATCATCAGCAGCATCATCATCATCATCGGCAGCATCATCATCACCCCAACCATCACCATCATCATCATCAGCAGCGGCAGCATCATCATCAGCATCAGTATCGTCGTCATCATCGTCATCATCACCATCATCAGCAACAGCAGCATCATCGTCATCATCGGCAGCAGCATCAGCATCATCATCAGCAGCAGCATCACCATCATCAGCAGCAGCACCCTCATCACCATCACCAGCACTGTCATCATCATCATCATCATCAGCAGCAGCAGCAGCATCTGCATCAGCTTCAGCAGAAACATAATCATCAGCATCACCAGCATCAGCATTATCATCATCACCCTTGTCATCATCATCAGCATCATCATCACCATCACCAACATCATCATCATCAGCAGCAGCAGCATCAGCATCATCATCATCATCATCATCATCATCATCATCATCATCATCAGCATCATCAGCATCACCAGCATCAGCATCCGCCTCCTCCTCCTGCTTCGCCTATTCCTCTTCCTCCTCTTCCTCCTCCTCCTCCTCCTCCTCCGCCTCCTCCTCCTGCTCGTGCTTCTCCTCCTGCGCGTGCTCCTCCTCCTCCTCCTCCTCCTCGTCCTCCTCCTCCTCCTCCTCATCGTCGTCCTTCTCCTTTTCCTGGGCAAGCCGCAGGCGCACACGGGCGTGAGGCATCAGACGGGCCGCCGCGGCGGCCCTAGCATACCCTGCTGACTCACCAGAGGCCCGGCTGCGGGCGCGCAGGTGAGGAAGCGGGACAACGAGAGGGCGTGGCGGATGACGCAGCAGAAGCAGCACACAACACAACCACCCCTCTCGAATAGGGGGTCGACTGGAGAATCGATGCACCCCAGAATTGACTGTACCGCCAAGTCAGCGAAAAAATAGGACGTCCCGAGATCTTTTCAAGGCGGGGACACAGATGAACGAACGGCTGCGCGTCCTTGCGCTCAGCTGTGAGGCACCGTCAACCACAGAGAGAAAAATGAGACAGAGCATGAGTGTGCACGCATGCTCGAGAGGGCTCGGGGGGCGGGGGACCAGAGAAGCTATGCGATGCAAGAAGGAGCGGAGCCAAAGGGGCGACATAATGAAAACCCCTCTTGACTTCCTTCACGTGCAAGCACAAACCAGGACGTCCCGAGATCTTTTCAAGGCGGGGACACAGATGAACGAACGGCTGCGCGTCCTTGCGCTCAGCTGTGAGGCACCGTCAACCCAAGCCGTTCCCAAGAATGTTTACTGGGTGGGTGGGCAAGGGTGATTATATAACGACGCGCGCCATTCACTCAAAAGGACTTTAGCGAGTTTCCTATTGAGGGTTGGCGGATAGGCGGCAGCGATAGCGGTCCATTTCGCACCATTCGGGGCGCTGTCCTCCAGCACGATGTGTGGACGGCCAGACTTGTTACAAATACCATTGATCTGACCACACCGACGATCGAGGCAGCAGCTATCCTGAACATCTATGTTCAGACACAAAAATCTTGTTCGTTTGCGCCAGCGGGCCCCCTCCTGACACTGATCGAGACATCTTACAACAGCCCCCCGTTCTATAACCCCCAGAACCTCTCTCGTGACAAAAACGCGTGAATTCACAGGATGCTCAAGTATGCAGGGGACTTTGAAATTCTCGCAACATCTGATGACGCTCAGCGCGGCCCGCATGGTCTTATTGCCCGATGCCAGGCGAGCCAGCTGTTTTGTACTCAGAAGATGTCGCGGAAGTCCCCAGGGATGCGATGCCGAGCGGATGGCTCCCACTCGGTCGGCAGCGGTGGTCCAGGGCCCACAAGGCGGCGCCAGCATCACGGCCAAGACGCGGCCTGCGGCGATGTCGGAGCACAAGCCCCGCAGGACCTTCCGTCGGGTGAGGTCGCCGCCCGGCCCGTGCAGCGTGTCCCAGAACCTGGCTGGCACGCCCATGGCCATTGCGGCGCGACCCACGCCACCTTTGCCACTGAAGCAGTCGGCCACATATTGGCCAGTCAGACGCGGTCGAGCTCCCGCAAGCCGAGCGGCGAGGCGCGATCCGAAATCATGTCCGCGAGCTGAACCCCGCAGACCAGGAACACGTTTTGCAACGTGCGGCTCCGAGTTGACCACGTGGCTGCCAGGCGCGCGTGCTTCTCGTAGCGGACGACGCTGCGCTTGGCTCTCCACTGCCCGCGTGTCTGCACCTCGGCCCGCCGCCCCCACCTCCTCGCCATGCATACCAAGGCCCTTGAAAGGCAAACCTGATACGGCACCAACTCGGCTCTTGCTGGCAGGTCTTGGAGACGTAGGCTGAACCTCCTGCGGTACTCTGTGCACGTGAAGTTCCACGGGTACTCGGGGTGCTTTTCCTTCTTCATCTGACGCAGCACAGGGCCTAAGAAGCGCATCCAGGGCGAGTCTGACTCTAGCGGCACCTTCACCAGGCCCGCTCTCTCCCACGGGCCTTCCTCCTCCGGGGAGAGCCTCAGGGTCCAGAAACTCCAGCCCGGGGGGAGGCGCCAGGCACCGTAGCTCGACAAGTCGGGGCCGAAGTGCAGGACGCCGACCATCAGCCTCTCGGCCCAGGAGGGGCGAGTCCCAGTCTGGTGCAGTCCGGTCAGCTGGCTCACCAACGCCGAGGTCACCATGGAATCGCCCCTGCTCTCCGCGACCTCGCCAACGGTCGCAGCCCTCTGGTACTCGCGCAGCGACGGGATCCACACGGCCTCCCTCTCCAGGTAAGGGGACCCCTTTTTGCCAGTGGTCATCCCGTAGTGGCGGGCAAGGCGCTCGTGCGACTGCGCGAGCCTGTGCTGCCGCGCGGCGCCGGTCTCGACCTCGGGCCCGGAGCTCCCGCTGTCGGAGGAGCCGTCGCTCTCTCGCGCTCCCTGAGCGGGCTCCACTGGCACAGGCACCTCCTTCAGGTCCTCCGCCATCTGCCCCAAGCTCCGCGGCAGGGGACGGCCCTGCACCGCTGTCTTCAGGAGCTCCGACTCGCACAGCTGGTGCTCCCGCCGAGCTGCCGGCGACGGCCGCGGCGCGACTGGCGGCAAAGGGGCAAGCTGCCGCGGGCATCCCGCCCCCTGACCCTGGGCAGACGGCCCCGGGCCAGGCCTCAGGCGAGACGGCGCCAGCCGCCGTGTGCGCCGGCGTCCTGCCCTTGGCCTCGCGCCTTGTCTGGTCTGCAGGGGGCCGAGGCAGCGGCCACGCCCGTCTGGCGCCCGCGGGCACACAGGCAGCATCGCGGGCCGCGGCGCCACCGGCTACCCGCTCAGGCGCGGGCCAGGCGGGAACCCGCTCTGAGCCCGCCTGGGAGCCCTCGAGCTCCAACAGCTCAGCCAGAAGGGTGGACTTTGCGCCGTCAGGATCAAATAGCCGTGAGGGGAGGTCGGCACAGTTGAGCTCACTGGGTATCCAACGAACCGAACAACGAATATTTCGGCTCAGACAGACAGCGTGAAATCGACGAATCTGGACCAACAAGTTGAAACAAGAGCTCCTCCCTCGATTGAAGCTTAGCACGACCGACATATTGTCACAGAGCAGCAACTGACGTATGTGGGACCCAAACACCGTGGTGGCGATACGATGTATGCTGCTGACCAGGGCTCGGGCCTCTAAGGTCAGGATGCCCTCAGGGTGCTGCCAGGCTCTTGCGAAGCAGGGCCCCCACAGACCTGCGCGGAGCCCCCGGGCGGGTACCTCCGGGAAGTCCCTCACAACGACCCACTGGCCCAGCTCCTCCTCATCTTCAGGAAGGCCCTTGAGTTCCCATTTTCCACTCTCGCTCATGCTGAAACCAGCTGCACAGAGCGCAGCCTCGCGGGCACTGTGCGCGCAGCGCCGGCGGAAGCGGGCTCGCTCAGGCACGCGCCCGACTGACTCCACCAGCTCCCGCGGCCAAAAGGCCCTTGCCAGTCCGTAGCCGTGAAGACTGGCATCTGACTGCTGCACCAAGGGATTCCAAGGTAGCCACCAATCTGATTCCAGGAAGTACATCAAAGAGCTGAAGGCCGCCAGCTCCTGCCGCGCCTCAGTCCATAGCACGGCCGCCTCGTCGCAGTGGGCTCGCACGAAGCCGTAGACTGAATTGAAGGCTGACAAGGTGCCGCGCGAGCAGAGGCCACAAAAGGTTAGGCGGCCCAGCACTGCTTCCACGGCCCACCCCTTGACACGGCGGCGGGCTAGGAGGCCTCGCACGGCCTGGCGGCAGCGCCAGAACCGATCACTGGTCACACGAGTGCGCAATTGGCCCCCGTCGATCTCCGTGCCCAGCGCTACTGTCTTGTCCAGCACCAGCTCGTCTTTGTGCAGCAGTAGGCTCAGCTTGGTGAACTCGCCTGTCAGCTGGTTCATCACGCCGCTCACGAGTTCAGAGAAAAGCGAGAAGACCCCCAAGTTATCAACGTACACGTAGTGCCTGACTTCCTGGGACGCTCTGCCCGGCGCGAACACGAGCGGTGGCCCATGGTCTGAAAGACCGGGCCCCCGAAGGAGCGCGCTGCTGCGGCGGCTCACCTCCTCGTTGGCCCGCTGGGCGAAGTAGAGGGACCAGCTGAAGCCCATGGGTAGCACCTGCCAGCAAGGGTAGATGGCCGTCGACGCACGCACCTTGGCCCCCTCGACCTCGGTCACGCCGAAAGCCCCAGCCTTGACCGGCGGCAGGCAGAAGTATTGCGAGAGGGCCGAATCAATACGCATCCGATGAAAGCAGTCCTTCACGTCCGCCATGCCGATGTACACCTGCTGCGCCTCCAGCGCGGCGCGGAGGTCCTCGTAGTTCGAGAAGCCCGCGCCTGGAACGTGCACCTCGATTATGGCAAGGCCCTCGCTGCTCAAAAGCTCCACCCCAGGAGGGTCCTTGAAGTGGGCGTTCGCACGGCGGGCGTCGACTATGAGGCGAAGTCGGCGCCGCCCATCCTTCCACACGAAAAACATCCCAATTCTCCCTTTCGGTGTTAGAGTCCATCCCAGAATGCCAGCCGACAGCAGCCGGCGCACCAGGCCGCGGTACTCCTTGTGGTTGAACTTCAGGACCGAGTCGAAGTATGGCTCGACGTCAGTCGGCAAGGGTGATTCTCGCAACATGCGCTCATGGCGCTCCTGCAGGAAAGTAAGGGCCTCGCCAGGCAAGAGGTCCTCTAGACGCGGGCAGTCGCTCACGTCCATCGGCATGCTGACGAGCCCTGCACTGTAGGAGGCGACCGTCGTCGGGCCACTGCGCCCGTCGCATGGCGAGCGGCCCCGCAGCAGCTCCCGGAGGGCCGCCTGCGGATCCTGCAACTCGGCGTCCGGCTGCCGGCCCCGAACGAGGCCCTCGAAGCGCGCAAGTACATCCCGCTGCATGTCATTGGCTGGGCCAGGAAGCGAGTCGTACCCCGACATCCAGTTAACGGCATCGACGATACCGTTGACCTCCGCCGCAATCCGATTCTCACGGCCGAACTGCCTCGCCCTGCAAGACCTGCCGCGAATTCGGCGGCCAGCGTCGCCCAGCAGCGGGAGCGGCAGGAAGCTGCGGGCTCCACGCGAGGGCGGCAGGCGGCCGCCGTCGTGCCCCGGCAAAAAGGGCCCGGGGGAGGGGCAGGTCCCCCCGGGCCCGGGGGCCGTCATGGCCCCGCGGAGGCGACGCCCCTGGCCCGGCCGCGCCCGCGGCCGCCTCGGCCGCCACCACGCCCCGCACCTGCTGCGTCGCCTCCAGCTCCTTCTGCTCCGCCGACGGCCCTTGCAGGCACCCCGCGTAGCGTACCTGCCCGATTCTGCGCCTGCTCCACCTCGTACGTCTTCTGCGCCCCCTGGTGGATGCAGCCCCTGAGCTCTGACCCCGAGACGTCCTTCTCCGAGCTCACGTCCGCGAAGATGTCCGCGTTCGTCCAGCTCGGCTTGGACAGGTCTCCGTAGGCCTCCAGCGCGGCGGACCCGCGGTGAGTCATCTCCCCCACCATCATAAGGCCGCTCATGTTCAGCTGGACACGTGATAAGCCCTGGTACCAGGCCTCCACGATCGTCCTCAGCTTTTGCACCACCCAGTCATTCTCCCCACGGCCCCTCACGCATACGGCGAGGTCGGGCTCGAGGCGCAGGTCGCCACCGTGCCTCACCATGTGCTCGCGCGCGTGGAGAGCCCCAGGCGGTTTGCCCACCCGTGCGTCTGGGCGGCGCCCCTGCCTCGACTCGCCTACCACGTCTCGCCATCGTCTGACCCGTCCGCCCTGCTCGTCGTAGAAGACCCAGAGCGTGCGGGCGAGGGCGTCACGCTGCTCGCCCTGCGGCTCCGCCAGGAGCGGCTGCGCCAGCTCTGGCATAGCCGTGCCGCGTATGGGCCCGGCGGGCTCCTCACCCTCGAGCGGCGCCGCGGCCGCAGTGCGTCGGCGCTCGGGGCCCTTGGCACGCGCCTGGCTCCTGCCTAGGTCACGCCTGAAAGCCTCATCCTCTGCCAGGCGCCCAGCGTCCGACCCCGCGCCCAGCCGGCCGAGTCGCCCCGTGCCACCGTCGGCGGACCTCAGCACACCGAACGCCTCAGGCCCGCCCTCGAAGCTCAGGCCTCCAGTTTTCGCCACGTCGACCTCCGCCCCGATCACATCGTCGGGTACGCCACTGCGGCCGACCCAGACGTCACCCCCAGCAGGAGCCTCCAGCGGCGTCCCCGCCAGGCGAGCCACGGCCATGCTCAGGTACAGCAGGCCCCTCCGCTCCGCGGCCAGCCGCCTGCCAGCGGCCTCCTGCCACGAGACCCGCTGGCCGCTCACGGCCCCGGCATCCCTCGGCTCAGGCGACGCCGCCTCTACATCCAGCGCCGCCTGACGGCCCCGCGCCAGCGTCTTGGCCCGATCCTCAGGCCCCAGCGCCTCCTCGAAGCGATACAGCCTCCGCATCCTGCCCATCCGCTGCGCCAGCGGGATGGGTCGGGCAGGCCAGGTCTCGGCCCTGCCGCAGCTCATGTCCTCCACGTAGATGTCAACCTGTGGGGACAGGATGACCCGTCCGCCCTCTGCCACGTAGTGCAGCAGCACCCATGCGTCATCGACGTCGTCGCCGGCGAATCGGCAGACCCCAGGCCCCACTGGGAGCGCTCTAGTCCACCACCTCCGCCCCACGACGCTGAGGAGCCACCACACGAGCGTCGTCATGCCTGCGACCGGGAACTCCCACCAGCCAGTGCACCAGGCCTCCGGGCAGCGCTCCAGCGAGCCTCCTAGCCGCCCTCTCGCCCGGCGTCGCCGCCGGCCGCCTCGCAGGCCGGGCAGGTCGCACCCGGCGGCGGCTCGCAGGCCGGGCAAGCCGCGCGGGGAGGCGGCTCGCAAGCCGGGCAGGCCGCGGCCTCTGGGCCAGCCGCCGCCTCTGGACACGCAGGTCAGGCCGGGCACGAGGGTCAGGGCAGGCCGCCCGCGTCGGGCCCTCCCCTGCCCCCACGTAGGCCGCAGCCTCCAGCGCCACTACCACCCAGGCCAGCGGCGCGGCCGCCCCTCAGGGATGGCGCCCATCCATCGACTCTGGACCAGAGAAACAATGCGATGCAAGAAGGAGCGGAGCCAAAGGGGCGACATAATGAAAACCCCTCTTGACTTCGTTCACGTGCAAGCACAAACCACGTAGAATACTCCGTTGATCTACAGAAGAGTCTACGTATTGTTCGTAGTCTCGACGGAAAATCAAGTTGGGTGTAAATCAATGATGTGGTCGATCCCTACTCGAACCCTGGAGCTCCTCCATCACCCATAGAGGCCTCCTAGATGGGGCTCGAGGAGATGCGATCGGAGGCTGCATCGGCAATGCATCGGCGACGTCGGCGATGCACTACCACCGTCGGCTTGGAGAAGATCGGGATCCACACCGAGCCGCACCGCCGATGCGCTCTCGATGCGGCGCGGTCCTCCGTTCACATCCGCTCTGACCCCACACGACAGGCCCAGAATGCAGAAACCACGTGGCCCTCCTCCTCCCCCCTCCCCCCAAGGCTCGCGGATGCCACGACAATGGACACCCGAACAGTCCTATAATTGAATTTCAAATGTATTCCAGATATCGAAAAAATGTTCTACACATGTGCTGAACATGTGTTTACATGTTTAAAGCATGTTTAAAACATGGTTAACACATGTCTTAGACATCTGGAAAGTAGTTGGCAGCATGTTTCCTCACCATTCATCGTCCTCCACAACGCGTGGCCCTCCTCCTCCCCCCTCCCCCCAAGGCCCTCGGCCCCCGGCCTTCTCGAACGCGTCCAGCTGCATGCTGGTCGCCAGGGCCGCCAGGCGCGGCGAGTGCAACTTCGACGCCGTGGCGGCCAGCAGCTCTGCGGCCTGGAGGGGGCGATATAGTCACCGTGCTACCTGAAGGAACGCCGAATAAGGGACGAAGGGGTTTTTCTCGCCACGGGGAACCTTGGCCACGAATGGGTTCCCCGACCTCGATCTAAGGAACGGCCCGACCATCGTAGCCCCTCTCGAGCCCAACGCGGTCCTCATTTCAACGTCATGGCTGTATGACAGGACGTGCGTGTGACAAGTCTACATATTGGACGCTCTGCTGCTGCAGGCTCGTGCCGCGGCGACGTCGACGTCAGGGAGAGGAGCGGGGGCAGAGGAGGGGGAAAAGGGTTGTGGGGGGGGCGGGAGACGAAGGAGGGGGAAGAGGGATCTGCAAGTTCGAGCAGAGCGAGAGGGGTGAAGGTTATAAGAGAAGAGACAGGGGACAGGGGAGGGGGAAAAGGAGTGGGGGGGCAAATGGGTAGAGGACAGGGGACAGGAGATGGGGAGTGAAGCAGGAGGGGGGCGGAGGTGGAGACGAAGAGGAACGGAAGGGGGAGGTAGAAGGAATCGGATAAAGAAGGAGGAAGATGTAAACAGTTTGTGATAAGCCAGAGAACGGCAGCGCACACAGAAATCAAGGTCTACAACGATAGCACCACCCCTTTCAAGTATGACAGACGAAAGCTGGCGCAAGTCCCGAGCCCGTGGAAACGGGAAAAGACGCTTCCGCTTGAGACCGCAAGTGGCAGAACTAACTGCGCAGAGAAATCGAAAGAGAACAAACAAATACAGGAGGCAATGTCTCACAGACCCCCCGTACAAAACCCACCCAGGGTATGATAGAATCGGAGTGCCCATCATGTGCATGGTAACGACGCCAAGCAGCACGGTGGCGCTGCCAGGGCGGCCCCCAGCAGCAGTCATGATAGGAAATGGAATGGCAATCACCAGGACAAGAAGGATAGCTAAACCGTGTGCGTCTGGTGGGGCAGCGGCGAGGGAGGAGAGGGAGGAGGCGGGGGGGGGAGGAGGAGGAGGAGGAGGAGGAGGAGGAGGAGGAGGAGGAGAGGAGGAGGAGGAAGAGGGGAAGAGGAGGAGGAAGAGAGAGAGAGAGAGAGAGAGAGAGAGAGAGAGAGAGAGAGAGAGAGAGAGAGAGAGAGAGAGAGAGAGAGAGAGAGAGAGAGAGAGAGAGAGAGAGAGAGAGAGAGAGAGAGAGAGAGAGAGAGAGAGAGAGAGAGAGAGAGAGAGAGAGAGACACTCCCGCGGACGCGGGTCGCCGCCTCGGCGGCCGCCGCGCCGAGCGCCCGCGGGTCGCAGGCACTCAGCACCATCTCGTCGCCCAGCGCCATGCGGAGGACGAACGCGCGAGGCAATCTGAGGGTGCCCCCAACTCCTGGACCAGTCCACGTGGATGACCCAGTGCGCGCAGTATGGATGCATCTGCACACTAGCTCGCGCCACGGCGTCGCACCGCGGCACCAGCGGCCCTGCCGCTGCCCTGCCGCCCTGCGGCCCGCCCCGCTGCCGCCCTGCCGCCATGCTTCCCCTTGCCCTTGCCCTTGAGCGCGAGCTCGCGGAAGCGGTCGAGCAGGAGCTGGAACTCCTCGGGGTCGTTCGGGATGTCGTCCCGCGTCAGGGTCAGGCCGAAGCTCGGGCCCAGGGCCGCGAGCTCATCACGGAGCGCCTCGGCTCTCTCCATGGTGTAGTCCTCGTACTCGTCGCTCTTGCCCAAGTCCTTGTCCTTGTCCTTGCCCTTGCTCCGACCTGTGCTGTTCGGCGGGCGGCCCCGCTGCACGGGCAGCTCGTCCGCCCAGGCGTCGTCCAGCATCATGGGCTCGGCCGACGCTGCTGCCCCCTCCGCCGCGTCGTCCACCATCAAACCCTCCTCGACCGTCTCCGTCTTGCTCCCATCGCCCGCCCTCGCACCACGCCCACGCGGGCGGCGCCGCCGCCGAGGGGCAGCGGGGGGCGCATCCGCCGCCGGCTGTGGCGGGGCGGGCGCACGGGGCGTCGCCAGCACGGCGACCGCCGTCCGGAGAAGGCCCTCGGCGGCGCGGATGAGGCGCACCGCCTCCCGCTGGCCGCCCGCCAGCCCAGCAGCCGCGTGCGTCGCCAGGACCGCGCCGCGCGCGGCCTCCAGCATCCCCCTCGCGGCGCGGGCGTCCTGCGCACCCTGCATCGGCCGGACGGCGGGCCGGCGGCCCCGCGGCGGCTGACCTGAGCAAAGATGGTACTAGGAGGAAGAGGAGAGGGAGGAGGAGGAAGGGAGGAGGAGGAGGAAGACTAGGCAGAGGAGGGGTGGACATGGAGGAGGAGGTTGAGGAGGAGAAGGAAGGGGAAGGGGAGGGGGGAGGAGGACGGAAAAGGAGGAGGAGAAGGAGAGCAAGGGGGGGAACGATGCACTCTTACCCAGCGTTCCCTCGTCTAACACTGCTTGAACGAGAAGGCCCGTATGGTACTATATCTATATCTGTCGGCCCCCTGTGGGGCCACTAGGCTGTAGGACTAGGTTGCTGCTCCCTACACCAGTTGCAGTTTCAAAATTCCAATGATACTGCCCTGCTTTCTGCTTCCGACTGGAAATTGTTGAAGTCCACGCGAGGTGGGGAGCACCAACTCAGCAGTTTACCACCCTGGGATCGCGTACTCTGAATTCCCGAGAGGGGGGCGTGGGACACGTAAGAATACATGAGATTCGCGTCCCCGAAACCAAATCCCTCGCGCAATACTCAAAAGTAGCATCCCCGAAACCATAAACCCGCGCAAAGTATACAATTCTTGCGTCCCCGAGGCAACAAACCCCCGTAAAGTACGCAACAGTCGCGTCCCCGAGGCCATAAACCCTCGCAATGTACGCCAGATTCGCATTGCCGAGGCCAAGAGTGCCCCAAGGCGCCCGAAGATGGTTCCAAGACGGCCCAAGAAGGCCCCAAGAGGCCCCAAGAGCGTTCCAAGAGGCCTCCCGACAGAGAGCCCCAAGAGGCCAGAATCGTCGATGTTACGGAGGTGGTTGAAGGATGTTGGCCGTCTCTCATCTTCGGTTTCCCGACGCTCCAAGACGGCTCAAGAAGCTCCCAAGACCGCCCAAGACAGCCCAAGACGCATGCAAGAGGGCCCCAAGACGGCCCAAGAGGGCTCCAAGACGGCCCAAGAGGGCGACAAGCCCCCAGGAGGCCCCCAAAGGCCGCCAAGGGCCCTAAGAGGCCCCAAGAGGGGGCCAAGACGCGCCCAAGAAGCCTCCAAGAGGCCCAAAAGATACCCCACGAGGCCCCAAGAGGCCTCCAAAAAGTGCCCAAGAGGCCACCAAGACGCCCCCGAGGGGCTCCCAACGACACCCCAGGCCTCAGACCCACAGCCGGCCGAAAGCCACTGGGATCCGCCGCCCCCTGTCGATTCATCGCAGGGGTGCCTGGCGTGCTGGACCCTTTCGATTTTGGTTTTGGTTCTTTTTCCAAAAGAACTCCCCCGGGGGCTTCGGCCCGTCCCGCCGGCCCTGCGGAAAGCCTGCAAACGACCTCAACGTCCACAAAAAATTCTTCAGGACGCCTCAAGATGGCCTCCAAAATGGTCACGTCGGCCCAATATGGCCCCAAAATGCCTCCAAGACGGCCCAAGATACACTCAAGACAGCCTGAGATAGCCTCAAGATGGCCCAAGACGGTCGAAGAGGGCTCTAAGAGGCCTCCGAGACGGCCCAAGAGGGCTCCACGAGGTCCTCCAGGAGGGCCCGAAGAGGCCAAAATCCTTGATTTTCCGTAGGTTTTCGAAGGATGTTTGCATTCGCTTCTTCTCGGCTTTCCGACGACCCAAGACGGCCCACGAGGCCCCCAAGATCGCTCCCACAGCGCCCAAGGGGCCTCCAAGATGGCCTCAGGACTGCCCAAGAGGCCCCCAAGACGGCCCCAAGAGGGAACAAAGACGGCCCAGGGGGCCTTTAAGACGATGGCCTGCAAGACGGCCCTGGAGCACCCCACGAGGGCCCCAAGTCGGCCCAGAGAGGCCTCCCAAACGGCTTCCGACGGCGTCAGACGGGCCAGGAGCCCACCAAGATGGCCGAAGTTGGCTCGAAGCTGGCCCAAGACGGCCTAAGAGGCCTCCAAGAGGGCCTCCGGGAATGCCAGAAAAGGGTAAAAGCATTGATATTCCTTAGGTTTTTGTTGAAGGATGTTGACATTTGCTTCTTTTCGGCCTTCCGACGGCCCGAGACGGCCCATGAGCCCCCAAAGATCGCCCAAAGATTGCCCAAAGATCGCCCAAAAGGCCTCCAAGATGGCCCCAGAACAGCCCGAGAGGCCCCCAAGACGGCCCCAAGAGGCCCCCAAGACGGCCCAAGAGGTTTTTAAGACGCCGAAGATGGCCTCCAAGACGGCCCTGGAGCATTCCAAGAAGGCCCCAAGTCGGCTCAGCGAGGCCCCCAAACAGCTTCTGACGGCGTCGGACGGGCCAGAAACCCACCAAGACGGCCGAAATTGGCACTTCCAGGAAGGCCCGGAAAGGACAAAATCATCGATTTCCCATGAGTTTTTGAAGGATTGTGGCATTTGCTTTTTGTTCGGCTTTCCGACGGCCCGAGACGGCCCAAGTGCCCCCAAAGATCGCCCAAGAGGCCCAAGACGGCCCCAGAGGCCCCCAAGACGGCCCAAGAGGCCTCCAAGACGCTCAAGACGGCCTCCAAGACGGCCCAAGAGCCCTCCAAGTCGTCCTCCCAAAAGGCCCGAAAGGGTCAAAATGGCCTCCAGGCGGCCAAGATGACCTTCAAGATGCCCACGTGTTCCCCGAAGGCATTCCAAACCGATTCGGGGAACACATGGTCCGATAGCTTGGCAGGTCTGGCCTCAACGTTCGGCCACATAGGCGCTTCCAAAAAGGCAGGGGGCGGCGGTAATTCGCCGTAGGCGTCTTCGATCCGCCGCCCCCTGGCGATTCATCGCAGGGGTGCCTGGCGTTTTGGTTTTGGTTCCTTTTTCAAAAAGAACTCCCCCTGGGGTTTCGGCCCGTCCCGCCGGCCGCCCGAAAGGATTGCCCAGAGGTGGCTGCCGAGAGTTTTCCTG